TATATATATATATTCTAATTAAATTTCAATCATAATAAATCATAAAATATAATTTTTATTTTAAAATAATGCAATACATAAAAAAATTAAAATATATTTAACATATGTACCACACATTTCTCATGTATTTACACCTGAGCCTTCATATTTACATACATACCATCCAAATTTTCAATGTCAAATTCAAAGAATCGCTATTATTTATTTTTTTTAAAAAAAATGTAACCTTTCATTTTCTTGTATATTTTTACTGTACAAAAATATTATAAATAAAAATATTTAGGTGTTAAATGTATAAATATAAAGAATTATGTGTTATGCGTTTATATTTATTTTCCCAGATTTTTAATTAATTCTTTTTTTTTTTGTTTTTTGTTTTCATTAGTCAAATAAGGGGGAATTGTCCTCTAACTTCGGCCCTCACAAAGAAAACATTTCATTTGCGGTAATCCCAATCAACGTCACGATCAGAATGCTGAGCGGCACTTCCACGGCGCCACTGAAGATCCAACGGTTATAATAGTCTGTCTCGTATTTGCCTCCGAGTCCGAGAGACAGCTTCCAACAGCTTTCCTCCCTCTACTGAAGGAGTACTTTTTCGTTCCTCGCCGTCTAGACTCTTCCCTAGCGCGGATTTCTCCTCTCTGTATTCCATTTTCCTACCCAACGTGACTTCGAGGAAAAGAGACGCTTTGCAACCTTGTGAGCTCCGGTATTTCTGATTTCAGTTGTCTCCTTTTTATTCATGGAGTTTTAAGCTTTCTTCTTTCTTATTCGCTGCAATTTTCTATGCTTCTGAATAGATTTCTAGTTTTCATGAGAAATTACTGGAGGGAGATTGCTCAAGGTGAAAACTTGTAGATTGAGGTACTGAAAAGCTTCCTTCTTTATGGATTTAGTTTTCTTTTTCTTTTCTTTTTGGTATTTGTCTGTTCTGTTTCTGAATTTATTGATGCTTTTTAAATTCTTGCGCAGGGTCTTCTTAAAGGCAGGGAAGGATACCTTCATCGGCTTCCAATCCGGATAGAAGTTTGGTCAACATGTCCATGGGGTCTTTTGTTTCACCTGAATTCCATGATTCGGTACTTTCGAAGGTTTCTGAGTGGAATCCCTTTGGAAAACTCCCATCTTTTCAAGAGGTACTGGTTCAAAAATCTCATTTCGCTGCTTGATTGTGATTTCACTTATTTTGGCGTTAAAAATGAATTTATTATAATTGATGGAGTTTGAGGATTCTCGGGGATTATGAAATCAATTATGATTTCTAACTACATCCAAGGAAATGATGCATTTAAGAATTTCATCGGGCGTGTTTTCCAAGTAAAATTAACCAAATGTGCTATGACTAAAATGTATGATGCTTTGAATGACACAGACACAAAGATCTGCAGAAGTTTCTGAAACACAACAAAAATTGAGCGAACTCCAAGAGGAGCTCAGGAGGACAACGGAGGAGAGATCCCTTGATCTTGAGGAGTTTGCTAAATTGAAAAATAAAAATGGAAAATCCATGCAGAGCATGGATAAGATTCGGTTCATAGAATTACAAGCTGAAAAAGCAATGGCATCAGAAAAAAAAATGCTCGAGTCCATGGTTCATCAGACCAGACAGCTTGAGCAAACCAAGATTTCACTTGAAGAGGCTAAGTTAGAGGTAAGGAATCTTCAAGAGAACATTAAAATGCTGGAGAATTCAACTGGCATAAGCCGTCGAAGTTCAGATAACAGGGAATCATTAGAACCTGTTGGTACCCATGAGGAGATAAGGCAGCTTAGAAATGATCTTAGGTTGGCACTGGAGGCAGAAGAGAAAAGCAGGAAAGCCATGGATGATTTTGCCGTTGCACTCAAGGAAGTAACTACCGAAGCCAACCAAACAAATGCTGAGCTTGCCATAATCCAATCTGAGTTAGAGAAAAAAAGAGAAGAAGCTAGATGTGATAATTCTTTGCTAAAAAGCACCGAGCAAAAGCTACTGGAGGCCTTGGATGTGTACAACAGATTGAAGTTGGAATATGAGGAATATGTTGCTGCTTGGATGGAGAAAGAGGAAAACTTGGTAAATTGCGTAAGGATTTCTGAAGAACATCTCGCTAAGGAGAAGCAGGAGAACATTCGGATGAATAATGCCTGGAAAACTGCGAGGGAAGAGAATGCTAAGCTCCGAGAAATAATCAAACAGGCGTTTAGTGAGGCTACCACGGTAAAGGAAGAACTGGAGAATGCTCGAAATGAGAATTCTAAGCTAAAGAATCAGCTTTTTGAGAAGGAAAGTGTATTGCAGCAAACAAGGCAAGATTACGATAGCCTAAAAGTTAGTGAAGCTGCTGCTCTTGATCGTGTGAGGGAGATGAAAAGTTTACTTGCATCTTCTTCAGCTGCAGATTCAAATAAGACCTCAAAGTTCTCAGAGATTAGGTCACTTCAACTTTCAAAATCAACAATTCATGGTGCAAAGACGAATAAGTGTTTGAGAATTTTCCCTTCTGAGAAGTGGAAAACTGGTTACTATTCAGTTAGCGGCAGCCGCAGGCTTGCCATTGGGGAGTCAGGGAGGTTGAAGGGATATAGTTTTGCTAAGGAGGGATCGCGAACTTCCTGTAGCAGTGTCTCTGATATTCAACACCCTTGTTCCAAAGTTGATAGTGGAAACATAAACTTAGAAGCTGATGATTTAGACGGTGGGAAAAAGAGAAGTAAGAAAAAGATGACAGTTTTGGACAGACTTACAGGTTCATTGAGGAGGAGAAGCACTGGGAATTAGTCATACACTCAAGCATTTCGATGTGAATGAAATTTGATTGAAATTGTATGTTTACCTTTACTTCTGTTGATCATTATTATTTCTTTGTTTTTTTCTGTGTTCTTAATTTACAGAGTAAACCAAAGATATGCCTTGCAATTTGAGATATGTGTTCATAATTATATGTGTGTATATTATCTTTAATTAGAAAAAACAAAGGTTCATTAGATAATATCTCATTGTTCTATTCAGGAATCGCAATAAACTAAAGGTAATATGACTAAAAATGGTGGAAAATACTTGTACAAAATAAAGAACACCACATTATACAATCAATCATAATAAATAGTTGGGGTACGATTAAGGATGCTGATGATGATCCAACCTCAAAATAAGAAGAAATAGGCTAATTATGGTAATTTTGAGATCTAAAACGACTTGAACATGCTTTGTGCTTAATCTCATATGAAGAAGTGCAATATCCATTGTTGTATTTAATTGGTTTATTATAATTTTTTTTTTTTCCTTTTCTTATATATTCAAAGCCGCCTCTGTAAAAAAGGCTTCCTGTTCATGAGAGAGGAATGTGGTGTGTGGAAATTGTAACCCAAGCCTCTCCTTGAACGGTGCTAGTGAAATCTCCCTCCCCGTGAACGTAAGAAAAACAACTTAACATTGAACCAAATAAATCTTGTGTTTAATTGTTGTTATGTGAATTTCTACACTTCTACTTTGTTTTTGCATGACAACTAGTATCAGAACGTGTGGTTTTTAGTTTGGAAGTCGACGACAACGATTGGATCGCGTGTCTCGACATTCAACAAGCTGATTCGGCGCGTGTTCCTGGTGTTTTGTGCAGCACGTGGTCCGGCGTGCTTTGCCGATAGATTCGGCGGTTTCAGGCGGTGGTTCCAGCGTGGAACAAGCGTCGGTGACGGCTCTGGCATGTGCTACCCTTTCTGTTTTGGTTTGCGGGAGAACCGAACAGAGAAGTAAAGAATTGATTGTGGAATCTTTTCATTCCCTTTTTGATTTGCGGTATCAGCAAAAGGAAATCGAGTTGAGAAAGAGAAAAAAAAAAGAAAAAAGCGCATTTTCTTATGAAACTTTTTTCTTAGATAATTTTTTTTGTTTTTCTTTTCATTTTCCTCGAAATAATAGCACAATTTAGGTTCTTTAATGTTAAATATGACAGTGTAAAAGTCAATTAATCAGGTGATTAAGTCTTCCGTCAAAATCGATGTGATGAAATTTGACGACAAAAAAAACTTTTGTATGTGACGATGCAAGGTGATGCATGCGTTGTGTTCTCTGAATTTGTAAGAAGTCTTGGATATCGAGAAATGTCCTAAAGATATGTCAGAGGGAGATTGGTTAAAGATGAACCGAAGTGCTTGTGGCTTAATCTGAAATTGCATGACCCAGGAGATCAAATATGAGGAGATGGTGGAGACTTCTATAGGAAAATTATGAAGTATGTTGGAGAACAAATATCTCACGAATTGCGTGAAGAACCCCCTCTATATGAAGCATCGACTCTACAGATTTTACATGAGATGGGGGAGGGGGTTACTTTTGATGAGCACTTGATTGACTTTACAAAGTTCTTTGTAAATCTGATAAATTTGTATGAGAAAGCTGAAGATGAAGATATGACACTTCTTCTGTTGAATTCGCTTTTAGATGAATATGAAAACTTCACTATAACACTCATTCATGGGAATGAGGTGTTGAATTATGGCGAAGTGACTACAACACTATTGAATCTTGAGTTTTGTCGAAGAGACGATGAGTCCGCAAAGATTGAGTCACCTGGGGTACTTACACTCCAACATGACAAATCTAAGAAGAAAAAGAAGAATAATTGAACAAAGAAATGTGACAACGACACTTCTCAAAAGCGGGGAGTGTTTTTTGTTTAGAAACTAATCATTGGAAGAAAAATTATCTGAAGCTAAAGGAGAAAGAAAAGGAAATTGCATCTGAGACGAAAGTTAAAATTATTGTGGAAAGATGTGAAGTTGTGGATTCAAATGTATTATTATCTATTGTTTCTCATAATTTGTTTACAGATGATTCGTGCTAGATTCTGGACACAGATGTTATCTATCACATTTGTCCCAATCGAGTATGATTATGTACGTATACGAAGCTAGATAGTGGTGCAGTGACTATGTGCAACAATCAAATTTGTCATACTATTGGTATATGGAGTATCATTATCAGAATGAATGATGGTACACCTACGTTAAACATGTTCCATATATCAGTAAGAATTTGTTGACGTTTGAGGCTTTGAGTCCAAGGACTATAAGAAAATTATTGAGACAAAAGTTCTAAGAAAAAATCCTAGAGCAATGATTTTTTATAAATGAGTTAGTTACCACAATCTTTACTATCTTCAAGGTAGTAAAGCGACTGAAACGACCACGGTTGCTTATAATTCTTTTGACTCTAATATGTTATGGTATATGAGTAGGGCTGTAAACGAGCCGAGTCTGGTGTTCGGCTCGTTCGAAATTGGCTCGTGTTCGAAACTTCAGGCTTTGATGAAGAAGGGGTTGATGAAAGGAACGAGCATCTGCAAACTTGATTTTTGTGAGCATTGTGTATTTGGCAAGAAGTCACGCGTATCTTTTAGGATTGCCATCCACAATACAAAAAGTGTTTTAACGTATGTTCGCACAGATTTTTGGAGCCTGACAAAGACAACATCATTCAGCGGGTGAAAATATTGTCTCTTTTATTGATAATTACTTCAGGTATGTTTAAGTGTACACAATGAAGCAAAAAAATGAAGTGTTGGAGATTTTCATAAATTGGAAGAAGTTGATTGAGTCTCGGATTGGTAAAAAGATTTGATGTATCAAATCAGATAATGGGGGCGAATACACTTTAAATGCGTTATTGCAATGTGCTAGAGAGCTGAGAATGAGCACCAATTCATTGTTTGATAGAAACCATAGCCGAACGGGGTGACAAAGAGGATGAATCAGATTTTGATGGAGAGAGTGTGGTGTATATTATCTAATGTTGGGTTAGATAGAATATATTGGGTTGAAGCCATAAAATATGTCTATCACTTGGTGATTCGGTTGTCTTTTCTGACTATTCGAAAGAAGACCCAAAGTGATGTGGTTAGGGTATTCTGCTAGAGATTATGACCACATGGGAGTGTTTAAGTATCCAACTTAATACCATGTGCAAAATGATAAATTGGAACCATGAGCAGGACCAAACACTTGAATATCCCAAAATAAGCTTGGGTGAGGGATCGCATTGCATTTACACTTTCAGTCACAGAGGCAAAAATTCCTTGTCAATACAACAGTGGAGAGCCCAAACTGTGATCTTTGGAGAGGCCATAGGGCTAATGTGCGGTACAAGGCAAAATTAGTGGCAAAAGGTCTTGCACAATGAGAAGGGATTAATTATAACGAGGTGCTCTTTCTAGTGGTCAAGCATCCCTCAATTTGTATTCTCTTAGCACTTGTAGCACAATACAGTCTAATCTTGGAATAACTCGATGTGAAAGCTACATTTCTACGTGCAGAATTGCAATAGGAGATCTACATGTTGCAACCGCCTAGAATGGATCATCAAAGGACTTGGTTTACAAATTAAACAAGTCTTTGTATGGGTTAAAGATGTCACCGCGACAGTTGTATAAAAAATTTGACCAGTTCATGAGGTGACACGAGGAGCATGTATGATCATTATGCATATGTCAAAAAATTTGCCAACGATGAGTTCATTTACTTGCTTTTATATCTTGATGATATGTTGATTGTATCTGCTAGTCAGATTGAGTTTGATATGATGAATAGTCAACTATTCAAACATTTTGAAAAGAATAAGTTGAGTGAAGCTCACAGAATACTTGGCATGGAGATTCTCAGATATAAGACAACTGGAAATGTTTGACTCTCGCAAGGAGCTTATGTTCGGAAGGTGCTGAAAAAATTTGATGTTGATGACTCAAGCAAAACGGTGAGTCTACCTATTACATCTCACTTTCAATCGAGTTCAGATCAGTGTTATAAAGATAATCATGAGATTAAAGATATGTGATTGATTCCTTATGCTAGTTCATTCGTCAGTCTGAAGTATGTCATGGTTTGTGCTAAACAAGATATTGCACAAGCAATTGGTGTTGTAAGCAAGTTTATCCATGATTCAGAAAGGATTGATTTACAGACTAGGAAGAGTATTCTGAGGTATTTGAAGGGTACAGTTGATGTTGGCTTGGTGTAGGAGATACATTCATCTATTATAGATTTGTGTGTAGACTACAATGGCTCTGACTATGTAGGTGATATGGACACGTGGAGATCTATAAGTGGCTATTTATTCTCATTAGTGGGACCAGTCAGTTGGAGGTTGGTTCTTCAGTCTATTGTTGCTTTGTCTGCTATAGAGACTGAGTACATAATAGTCGCGGAAGCAATGAAGGAAGTTATATGGATGCAAGGCTTATTGGATGACTTGGGAGTTGATCAAAAATCTCTGACGATGTTAGTACGGAAAAAGTTGAAGTATCATTGAAACTCAAATAATAATAATAATAATAATAATAATAATTGTATTAATAAGAATAATCGTAATAATAAATAAAATTGAATATAAGTCCAAATGTATAAATAGTTAATAAATTTGAACAATGTAACATATGATGAAATCCAATTCATTACAACTCTCGCCTCAAACTTAGGAAGGGGGGAGACGGAATAGGTGATTATATTCCAGAAAAATTCATGCAAGTCCAAATGTTAATCTCTCTTTTACATATATCATTACATTATATGGAACTTGCAGGCGTATAAATTAATGTTCAGAAAAATGTTTCTCCTTACAAAATGCATATGCTATATTTGAACATGTCGACCTTAAGCAAAATTCACTTCAGAAATCAGAAGTTTGCTCCCAGTCAAAGACCTGTTTAGCAAGTGTTTATGATAATTTTGAATTTCATTTAATTCAGTAATGGGTGCATACGCCTCTGAATAACTAAGATGACGCTCTACAATGCAAAAAGTGTTGGAAAGTATGAGGTTATTGTAAGAAGATGAGTACTAAAAAGAGAAGAGGAACACTTTAAAAACTCACTTTTATTTCATTCTTATTCTTCGTGATTCTACTTGATACAAACTCA